TAATAAATAATTATCTAGTTAAAAAAAGAAAAAAAGAAGAGTGAACCTTAAACTGCAAACCCAGGGTGGATTGGCAAGAGTATTAGCAAAACCAAAGCCATGTTTGCTGAAGGAGGCTTTCTACTTAGACCACTCAGCAGGACCTGAGGCTTCACAACAGGGAGGAAACAGTGCTATTTAGATAGTAAATCCACAAGCCAAATTCCCAGTGAGATTTGTTTCGATTTTCCTTGCAATTTAGATGGGAAGTTAGAACCAGCTCTTGGGTAAAACAAAAGACCACATGGAGTGATCATTAGAGGCACTGCAGTAGGCAAGGGGCAGGGACTAGCTATGGACAGAATTTCTGGTTACTTTTATTTTTGAGACAGGGTCTTACTATGTAGTTTAGGCTGGCCTTGAACTCACCATTTAGCCCAGGCTGGTTTAAAACTCGAGGCAATCCTCCTGCCTCAGCCTCCCAAGTGCTAGGTTTATAGGTGTGCACCACCACACCTGACTTAGGTCACTTAATTTGTCATTTCCAGGGACTTGTCTTTTTTATAGAAATATCTCATTTTCCTCATCTGTCTCTTTAAACAGAAATGGTTAAAAAAGAAAAAATGCTTTGTGTTGGAGTTTGAACAGGTGAGAATAATACATTGGGTGTAAAAGCAGGCAGTGAAGATTTGGAATAAGTCATCAATAATTGACTAGGAAAGGAAGAGAATGAAAGGATTTGGAGCCTGAAAAGAAGAAAAAGTTCTAGGAGTAAGAAAGTGGGACTATAGCAAGAGGAGAAAAGGAAGGCATACTAGGGCATAGATAATGAAACATAACAGTATGCTACTGGTGGATCCTACGTAGAAACATCCTGCAAGGCTTTTTAAAGAAGGGCTGTCAAAGTAATGAGTGACTCAAAAACTAAGAAAAGCAGATTTCTCTGATTATGTTTTTTTGTAGCCTGTTCTGTCCAGGTCAGTATGACAATGAGCATTCAACTGCCTAAAATCAAGCAGGAAGCATCTGTTGAAGTTTTGCAGTTTCATAAAACTGATCTCCTAGCAGTTCTTTGTGATTCTCTCTTTAAAAAAATCAATACAGCTGGGCATAGTGGCACACACTTGTAATCCCAGTATTTGGGATGCTGAGGCAGGAGGACTGCCATGAGTTTGAGGTCAGCCTGGGCTACATAGTGAGTTCAAGGCCAGGCTGAACTACATAGTAAGACCCCGTCTGAAAAAAAAAAAAAATCAATAAACACACACTCTGGAAAAAAATGACTTTCTACCAGGTATGTGGGGGAGATGAGGATGTGGGGGAGACTGGCATGGGTCACCCTAGGGATTGCAGAGTAATTCGAGCACTCTGAGAAGCTGAGGCAGGATTGCAAGTTTGAGCTCAGTCTAGGCAACTTAGCAACTCAGTGAGACTTTACCTCAAAAGTAAAAACAATAGTATAAAAAAGGGCTGGGGAAGTAGCTCAGCATGAAGTCCCTGGGTTCAGTTCCCAGTACAGAGAGGGAGAAGGAACAAAAAAGAAACAAGGGGTCCAGGGATATAGCTCAGTGGTGGCACCTCCGCCTGGCAAGTGCAAGGTCCTGAGTTCAATTCCTGGTTTTTTCAAAAAAAGAAAGAAACAGAGGGTGCAGCCCAGGGTCCTCTGAGGTGCAGGCATCCCTCTGCTGCTCATAGTGAGAAGAAGCCTGTACTCCAAGGGCTGGAAACTCTTCAAACTCCGTTTACTTGCTTCTGTAGGAACAACGTACTGCTATCTTGTGAAGAAGTGTTGCCAGGGCGACAGGCCTGGAAATGGGCAAGTGACAGGAAAGGGTGAGTGTTTTTTCCTCCACCGGCCTGGGATCTCCCCATTGCTCCCTTACTGGCAAGCTGGACCCCTCTGCAAAGTGCAGTATGGTTGTGTCTGCCCTGGCACTGAGGAGCTGCGTGGTGAAGGCACAGGTTGGAGCCCAGGGAAGAAGGCTTAGCTTAGTGATGGGCACAGCAGAGTAAGTCTCCTGTATCCTCTTGGATATTTTCAATCCCTTTGGAGGGTGCCCACTCACACTGAGGAGAATCTTCCACACCCATTCCACCAACTGGCCAGTCTCCTCTGGAAACACCCAGAAATAGATAAACCCAGAAATAATCCTTATGGTTCTCCATGGAACCCTTAACCAGTCAGGTTGACACCAAAAATTAACCATCACGCCAATTCTATGACATTCTGGAAAAGGCAAGACTATGGAGACAGTGGAGGAGATCAGAGAGGTGGAGGGAGGGATGAATAAGTCGGGTGCAGAGGATTTTATGGGCAATGTAACTCATCTGTGTGTTACACTAATGATGTGCACATGACACTATGTATTCATCCAAGCTCAGTGGGTAACAACACCAAGGGTGGAACCTAATGTACACTATAGAATTTGGGCAGCAATGTTGGGTCATTGATTGGTAACAAATGTATTACTTGGGGCTGGGTGCTGATAATGAGGAAGGTCACACATGTATGCGGGCAGGAGGTCTGTGAAACTCTACTTTCTGCTCAGTTGTGGTGTGAACCAAACTAGCTCTCAAAGTAGTTTATTAATTAATTAATAATTTATTTTTTTTGGTACTGGGGATGGAACTTGGGTCCTTGGGCTTGCGAGGCAGGCGGTGGAACCACTGAGCTACATCTCCAGCCCCGGTAGTTTATTAATTTAAAAATATGTTTTAAAAATTCATATTTTTCTGAAGATAGCTACTCTTTTTAAGCTCAAAGGGATCAAGCACAGCACAGAGATCATAACTCTGGGATATTTAATATAAATCTGTTTGGAAAAAGATTTTAAATTGCACTGAACCTGTTGTGATTTTTTTGTGTGTGTGATTTTGTAGTTACTAATTTTTTTCCTGGTATTCTTGGTGATCTGGGATAAGATGAAAACTTCATGATCTGCTTAAACCAAAGCACCTTTTTATACTCTGAAATCTAATAAGCTTTAAGGCTAGGTCAAGAATAGTGCAGATTTTAAAAAGCAAGCAAGCAAAGTGACCAGTGAATGTTCAGAAACTATTAAGTGAAAATTTGGTTCACATTGTTATGTGGTTGGAACTTCCTGCTTCTTAGTCCCTCGTGATTATTTGTGGGGCCAAGCAGGGCTCAGTTGGAAAAGCTCTTTTGTCTCTCACTGTTGTTTCACGTAAACAAGACTGACCATGAGGATAGGCTGCAGGCTCCCAAGCCACAAAGTTAAGAGAGACGTCATCCATCTTTTGAACACGGGACAGATGATAGCTAAGTCTTTCTGCTACAGTTAGTGTCTTAGTTGCTTTCTTTGTCACTGGGACAACATAACCAATACCCTCAATTTAAAGGAGGAGAGGTTTATTTTGGCTCACAGTTTTTAGAAGTTTCAGGGCATAGTCAGCCAGCTCCAGGCAGAAGCAATAAGGTGGAAGGGTCTGGTGGAGGAGAGCTGTTCAACTCATGGTGGTCAGGAAGCAGAGCATGATGGGAGGAGCGGGGTGGGGGGCACACCCTTCAAGGTTATGTCCCCTGTGACCCACCTCTTCTGACCAGACCCCAACTCCTAAGAACGATCAAGCTAGAAGCCCCCATAATACAATCACCTTCCAAAAGCCACATCTATGAGTGGATGAGGCTCTTGAGGAACATCTAGATATAAGTCATAACAGTTAGGTTGTGATTTATCCTTGTGCTGGAAGCTTGGTCCCTAATATGGCAGTGTAAGGGGCCTTTAAGAGGTGGAGCTCAGTGGAAGGTAATTAGGTTGTGGGGATGCTGCTCTCATGGATGGATTGATGCTGGTCTTGCAGAGGGGGTTGGGGCTGGTAGGAATGGATTAATTCCCATGACAGCAGATTGTTATAAAACGAGAGAACCTGGTCCCTCCTCTCTTGCTTTCTGTCTAGACATGTGATTTCTTCTGTGTGTGCACCTGCTGATGTGAGAGCTGAGTACTATGCTGTCCTCTCCAGCCACCAGAATCATGATCCAAGTAAACTTCCTTACTTTGTAAGTTACCCAGCTCTAGGGATTTTGTTACAGAACACAAAATGGGCTAAGACACTTTCTAAGGCTATGTCTTACACATTAGATTCCATCACATTTTTCTTAAACATTTTGCTTGAATTCTAAGTATGCTGTCTATAAATTCTCACCTTCCTTTTGCTGAGCAAATCAAAGGATAATTTGATTTTGTCATTGGGTGTCATTTCAACTATCCTTTGAGGTAAGTGGACACAACCTTCCCTTTTGCTTCATTTGTCTCTCTGGGGTCAATCTCTTTCCAGTTGGTCTCAGCTGAAGACTTCTTCTTTTGGGCCGGGGATTTAGCTCAGTAATTCCTCTGCCTTCCTCACAAGCACAAGGTCCCAAGTTCGATCCCCAGTACTAAAAGAAAAAAAAAAAAAAAAAGACTTCCTTTTTTTGTGCTCTCCTCCAAATAAGCTCTTGCCCCTACCCTGGCTTCATGCTCAACATATTATATAGGGAGACAGGAGAGAAACATTTTGATTTTAAGGGAATACTTTCAATAAAAATAATATAAAAATTTAATTGGATGTGGTGGTGCACACCTGTAATCCCAGCATTCACTCTAGCTGAAGCAGAGCATTATGGTAAGTTCATGGCCAGCCTGAACTACACAGGGAGACCCTTCCTCAAAAAACCAGAAAACCAAGACCACCACCACCACCACAACCACCAGCACAACAAAAACTAACCAACCAAACAAACACCCAACAACAACAAACTCAGAATGTTCTGAATTTTAGGAGAATAATACCGACCCTACAGTGTCATCCAGAGAGGGCTCCTGTTAACACTTTGAGGTGTGCTGCAGTGATTTAATTAGATTTAAATCCTACTCACCCTGCGCCCCACCCATCCACCTGTGGCTTCCTTTAAAAGATGGATTGAGCAATGATGATCTTTCCTCTATGTCACAAATTATTGGTCATATTCAGACATCAACATCTTCCTGGTCTGGGAGCTGTTTTCTTCTCTGTGGTCCCTGAATGCTAATTGGATTTCCCTGACACTGGGCAAAGACTGATCATAGCTGGTCACAGCTGAGCCCTCCCAGCTGTCAGCCCTGACCCTCTTGCTGACCCTACAGTTTGTGCACTGTGTATAGGGAAAGGTCACGAAGTCCTGGGGAGCCCTCACATGTCTGGCCAGAAGATGCTCTGAGCAGTGGCTTGTGTCACTTTGGGGTTCTGTGCCACAATCCAGGTGTGGGCAGATGGAAGGAACCAGGAACTGCAGAATGAGAAGAAAGTTAAGTTAGGAACTGAGACTTGATGTGGATGCCTGTGGTCCCAGAAGAAGTGGACATCTGAGACCAGACACAGAGCCAGAGGGAGTTCATGCTTCTACCAGACGCAGGGGCCTGGCAGTGGGGGCAGCAGCAGGGTGTCAGGCCAGGAGATGCTGGAGGGGTGCAGAGGTGTGGAAGATCAAAGGCAGGCAGTGGGTCACAGATCCAGGTCTTTAGAGAGGCAATGAGGAGCCCAGGCAAGCAGACAGGGACAAATGGAAGGCTCTCAACATCCCTCGGCCAAAGGGCAGCCAGGACAGAGGTTCCACAGGCACTCCTCCAGCCAGGTCTCACTGGGTGTCAAGCTTAGGGTCCTGCAAAGGGCAGACCAGATGAACCCTTCTACCCAGGTGGGCAAAATAGAGCATTTTGATGCTGGAAATTCCAGGCCAACACAACACAGGGTCAGCACCAGAATACTCAGATGCCCTTCTGTGAAGACTTCTCCCAGGAGATGCCTGGTCTCTTTGGGGGCAGTGGTTTAGTTTCCATTTTTGTCTTTCTTTTCCCTTAAAGTCTTTATTATGCACAGTGCCCCGATAATTAATTGCATGAATATGTGAATGGATTCTCAAGAGGTGGTGATTGAATAAAAGGACGGTTCACTTTTGTTGATGTTGTTTTTTGAGACAGGCTGGTCTTGAACTCAGTAATCCTTCTGCGTCAGTCTCCTGAGGGCTGGGATTACAGGCATGCGCTACCACGCCCCGCTCAGTTGGCCCACATTAAAGTCATTACCTTACCTTATATCTTCCTTAGCAAATAATGCCTGAGATCCACCTTGCTGTCACTGGCTGCCTCTCACCCAGGCAAAGCTGTGGCCTCCTGATCACATTCAGGGTCTGTAAACTCCCCAGGATGCTCGTTAAGGCTGAAGCTTGTGAGCCCACAGTTGCATTTTAGAAAAGCAGTTACCTCGCCTGGTTGCTGACAAAGAGAGCAACCATTCACTGCCAGTAAGTGAAATCAAGTCATCCGAGTCCCCAGGGGCTGCAGAGGATTCAGAAATAGGACAGGTGCCTCAGTGCTGACCACCGGATTGGCATGGGCACACAGCTAAATCTAAACTGCCTGAAGCAGACTGGAGTTTCGAGGGGCTGGCAGGCACTGCAACGAGCAGCCCCCCTCATGGGTTCGTTATCCCCACCTGCTCCATCCCCAGATTGGAATCCTAATTCGAGCCTACAAGAATCAGCTGTAGCTGGTCCTCTGTGTAATTCAGATCCCGCTGCCTGCAACCCTTAGGAACTCAAATAAATGGAAGGACTAATATACTACTGAAAATGTAATTAAGCACTCATTGTAAAGTAATAATGAATGGCCTCACTCTTACCATCTGGCCAGAACTGATTAACACCTAGAAGAAATAGACTAAACCTTCTAAAATCAGAATTAATGTCTCAGATAATAATAAGCATTTCTCAGATCATAATGAGAAACATTTGTGTGCGTGTGTGCGTGTGTGTGTGTGTGTGTGTGAGAGAGAGAGAGAGAGAGAGAGAGAGAAAGTAGTTGGGAATTTACTGAACATCCTGAAAAATCTCATTCAGATTAGGTGTGATATGTTTAGTGTCGAACCATATCACAAATGCGGAAACTATAAAATTTACAAATTGGAATTGTCATTTCATTGGATGATTTTTTTCCCCCTCTCCGTTGTTTCTTACAATTGCAAGGAATTATTGGAAATGTCTACTGCTGGGCTGGCAGTTTCAGAAATCACCAAGGATAGACAGAGCCCATTGATTGAAAATTCTTTTTTTTAATAGGTTACTGGTTGAAATGCTGTTTGTTGCCTGGAAGGTCATGCAGTGTGACTTCATCCCTTAGAGTTAGTTAAAATGGTAGAAGTGTTAGACTTTCTGGGCTGTGCCAAACGGGTTAGCATCGCAAAGATGCCAAGAAAGATGCAGACCCATTTGGAAGACAGGGTTGCTATTAAAGCTGCTTTGCAAATGCACCTTGGGGAATTATGGGACACCAGGGTCCTTCTGACACCTGATTAGCATATGTGCCCTGTGGCCCCGTGCAGAGGCTGAACAAAGCAGAATTGGGGATGTTTTTTTCTTACCAGAATCCCTTAGATTACTTTGCCCTGTATAGTGCTGGGAAAGTTTAATGGGCTTAACACTAGCCTGGAGGGAAAGGGAGGAGGAGTTTTTTTTAAAAAACAACAAAAAAACCTGCTGACTTACTGCAAATCTGGGATAGATTGCAGGGCTGGTGTTCAGAGCTGGTGTTCTGTGAACCTAAACCTGCATCTCTAAACACTACTTTTTTATTTCTCTAGGTTTGGCCACCAGAGAGATAGAAAAGTTGCATGGTCTTATCTCCTCAGCTGTTTCTCAAAAAACACTCAAACCTTATGTTAGGAGCCCCTAGCATTTTGCTCAAGACTGGGACGTAGGTAAGAGTAGCTCAGAGAATTCCCAGGGTGGAAAGTTATTCCCAAGCAGGCAGCCCCTGAGTTGGGACTAAGGAGTGTCAATTGCTGGTGACATTGAGGGTGAGCAGCGCCAAGTGCATAAGCCTAATTGTGATATCAGTCACTCAAGTTGTGTGCCAGGTGATCAGTACAATAACAGATTTCCTTCTGTGATAGCTGAGGGGGTGGGTGTTGCTAAAGAGATGAGCCCTTAGGAAAGAATTCCTAAGTTTGCCCCTAGAACAGACTCCTGATTTCCTGTCTACTGCTGAATCTGAACTCAGATTCCCCAGGCCCCTTGCTTTCTGGCCAGTTCTGATGCTGCTGGTCTTCTAATCGCTGTGACACGAAGTCACAGTAGCAAGGGTCCCCTCCAGGACAGTATCAGTCTCCAACCTGGCTCAGTCAGGAGTCCCCTGGAGGACTTCAGCCTGAAATCCAGAAACAAAGAAATCATGCAACGCTGTCATCCAAAATGCCCGAAAATGTCACTGCTACCTTGTGACAGATGGCCCGGTTCTCAGTATGACAGTGACCTAGGCAGGCCATTGATTTGGTTTGCAAAATTAAAATATCTGAACAATGACCACAGCCGCCAGCAGGAACTGCACCCTCAGGCTGGAGTTAAGCAGGTCGCAGTGGTCCTGGGATTGGGAGATCAGACAGTAAATGCCCTTATTTATGGCTCACATTCTGATCTCCCAGTTGATGGCCATGACTGCCCAGGTGTGGGTGGTTGGGGACCGGGCTAGAAAGAACTCTTCAGGCAGAAAACAACATGTTCTACTTGCGAAGCAGGCAGAGGAAACTGGGGAGCAGAGACCAAGACAGCTCGTGGGAGGAGCAGAGAGGGTGAGAAGTGCCTTTTCCCTGGCAGAGAGGTTCAAAGACTTTAGACTTCATGAGAAGCAAAAAGTGCAGTTTAATTTTAGGTAATACAATCATTATAAAAACCTAGATGCTTTTTTTTGTTTTTTGGAGACAGGATCTTGCTATGTAGCTTAGGCTGGCCTTGAACTCACTATGTAGCCCAGGCTGTCCCAAACTGGAAGTTGATCCTCTTGCCTCAGCCTCTGGAGTGTTGGAATCATAAGCGTGTCCCACAACACCTGGCTAAAAATCTGGACTCTTTCAAATGAAGACAGTTTGGCTTGAGAGTTGGAGGTTTCTCTTTAAGGTAGAATGCAAAAAACCAGGATTATAGTAAACATTGTTTATCAAGCATTCATGACTGTATGTTTATGTGTGCATTAGCCTTCCTCTAAGATG